TGTAAAGCAGTTAATATATACATACCAGAGAAAACTGTAACGCAACATATACGAGTTTTTAAATTCAAGAATAATTTGTTTTCAATGATTCAAAAAACAAAATCTTACCCTCAACATCGGAAAGCTTTTATAACATTTTTAAATCACAGTGAATTACATTGCTCATTAATTATACCTGTAACAAATGGAAAGGGACCAAATTTCAGTCTATGTACATTGATCTCCAGTCAATCCACCTGTGTCTTTTCAACTTAACCCAAAACGTTACAATAAAAAGAAAATATGGTTTAATGTTTGTATTGTGACAAATGATCCATTATATCATCTCTAATGCTCCTTGCGCAAAGCTGTTCATCTCCATTGAAAGAAATTTGATCCATTTCATTGTCATCCTCGACGGGGTCTATAGCGCTCGAATCTCCAACATCTATACAAATATTGTGAAGGACACAGCAAGCCATGATAGTGGTGGGGACTCCAATGGTTTATAGAGACATCTCCAACGACCTTTCAAAATTCCGAAGGCTTGTTCTATAACAACCCGGGCTTGACTGAGGGCACGATTGAAACACAATGGGCCCTCAGTTAATGTTGGTGTTTGCTTAAACGGCTTCATCAGCCAAACAGACAAAGGATACGCCGAGTCCCCTACCAGAAGAGGTCCAGCTTTGGAACCCCCAATTCTCTTCAAAGGCGCGTTTAGCCAGGTACCTTGATATATTTCTCTCTGCAGTTTACTCAAATGGAGAATATGGGCATCATGAATGCTACCGAGGTAGCCCGTACTCACATCAAGAAATTTAAGAGACGCGTCAGCAACTCCTTGGATTACGATGGAATACTCTTCCTTTCGATTGAAGTATTCAATCCGTTCATTGACAGGCACTGGTTTTAATGCAATATGACTACCATAAATTGCTCCTCCCACTTGCGGGAACGGGGACTTGTTTGTGAACAAGCGAATGCTTTGTTGCACATCTTGCTCAGTCACTGGAAATTTAATAAATTCTGTGGCTCATTTGGCAATTGCTTCACAAAAATCGTGTGTTATCAACATAGCTGTACACCTTCCAATGCCACATTGCAGCCCAGTGGATCTATACATGTCTCCAGTAGCTAGGTGCCATAACGCTACTGCTACTCGCTTGTTTACATGGACACATTGGTGCAATCTCGTTTCAAATCAATCTCATGCCAAATCCGCGCCAACCGCTCAAACAATGTACTCAACTGTACACATTGATATCCTGAAATTTTCCTTCCACCAATCTTCCACGAAATCTCCTTGCAAAAGGCTCTCAAACCAGAACTGATTTCGCGGCCATGCTCATGTGTGTCTAGCTTGTCTGGTATTTTTTAAAGCAATTTGGAGTAAAACCATCCACTTTTGCCTCGACCTCGAGGTGTTTTAACATCAGCATCTTACGAAATCTTGACGTTTCTGTTTGCAGCTCTTGAATTAAGAAATAAAAAGCAATGGCCACAAAAGCCACCACTTTACTTCTTTAAGCAAGCATGGTGTTAGAATTTTCTGCCAGTTCCATTTCATGATGTAGATAATGCAGATAGTGGGAGTGTTGACAGATCAACTTGAGTTATTTGAGCTTGTGTAAACACTGGAGCAATGTACCAAGGTCAAGTAACTTGACCTTAGTAAATTTTTACCTTGGTAAAAGCTCAAATCTAAACACAGGGTAAGTGTTATTATTTTTTTTTTACTTGAGTTAGCTAGCATAGAGGAATTAACTGGCTGCAACTGTCCTCAGTTTCAACACTACCTGTCCAAGGCTTTTACTTGGTATTGGATTGTTAATATATGGGTATTTTTCTATTTATTCTACAGTTACAAACTGGTGGCCAGGAAGATGTAGTTGTCAATTCTGATGATGTGGCAGGCAACACCACTTCAGTCAGTGAAGAACAGACAACAGAGACTGCAGTATTAGTAGTTCTTTGAAACCTCAATTTATGCCCAAATGATGACTTCAATGTTGAGAGTCACTCTGACTATGCATCTGACTTTGACTAAAGAGTAACATATTCTTTCAGAACAAACATTAGTTCAAATAAAGTGTTATTGAATCATGAACACGTGAAGAAGGGTGCCATGGCTCCTGTTGAAAGACCCTCTGAATTGCTGAAAACCCAGGAGCTCCCAAGGGCTTGCCCCCCCCTGGGGCCCCATCAGGGCTATTCCCCTGGACCCCAGTGGGGGCCCATTCAGCCCCCACACCCCCACCATGGGGTAAACCTACAAAGTTACTTGCTATTTCTTACTTTTTAACTCCTATGGAAACAAATTTGGTAAGAACCCTAACAAAATTATGCAATTAGGCAAGGATAAAAATTTTCAAAACTGGCATTTTAATTTATTAATATATAGATATATGTTAAGCTTTTTGTATGGTTTAAATATCATAGTTAACATTGCAACTGATATGAATGTCAGCCTTTATGAATCAACTTGATTTAAAATTATTTCACAGAGTTTTTTTACTGTAGATATTGTAATAAAGGTTGTAATTGTAATAAGGTTGTAATAAATAACTTTTAAGTACAGTTGTAACTTTCAGTACAATTAAACATCAATTAAAATGTTTTGAGCTATCCACATTTCCTTATTTATCTAAAACATTTCAATAGAGTACAAACAAGCTCTACCAATTTCTATTCAAAGCCATTGCTTTCTAATTATTTCCTGCAAAATAGTCCTGCCACAATCAGAAGCAAACCTCAACTTGTCTAAGGGGATTATCACTTCTGACAAAGAGTACAACCAGAAAAATACAACCCACATCAACCCAATACAATCCAGATTAAATGCCTGAAAACATTTTGAATCTCTCATTAAAACAATCAAAACAACATTGCAAACATGTCAAAACCTTTATTTAAGCCACCAAACTGACCAGCCTCACCTATATATAAAAGAAGCCATTTGCTTTAGCACATAAAATTAACAAAAGTATTCCTCTCATCTCCCTGGTCAACTTTGCAGACAAGTCCAACCAAGAAAATTCTGGTGAAAATAATTTGAATTTGCTCTTTAAATATGTACAAGCACAAATTATCATTAGAGGTAATGTAAATAAGACCAACACAACATGATGATTTACCAGGCATGAATCAAAAGGCCTTCAATAGCAAAAAAAAGGACGAGAGGAAGGAGAATAAGTGGTAGGTAAATGGTAGGTATGTGATACTACAGTGGTACTGTGGTAAGCTATTAGTAAGGTCAGCGGTTGTCACCAATTTGCCAGGTAACTGCTCAACCATGAGGGCAACCATGTTTTTTTCTTATCACAAGTGTGATGCGTAGTTTCCATCAATGTATTAACCCTCTGGCCATCTGCATTTGTAAAGGAGAACTTAAGTTGTTATCTGAAGATTAAAGTGTTGATCTTGCAAATAACAATGGTCGTATTTTTTATCATCGAAACTCCTTCAGACACAAGTGCATTATTCGGGGGCAGCCACAGTATGGGTGTTCAAATAAAGAATTGAGTGATTTTTTTTTCATATTATTTCTTATCGTCTAAAATATAAATATCCCAGAGAAGAAGAGAGCAGGACAGGTTGTTGATTTTATGGTGGCCAACTAGAAAGCCTTCGCTACTTTGACCACCACACAAATTTTTATAATCTGTACCTTATTTATTTTACTCTGTAATCATTTGTTGCAATTATACTTTTCTATCTATGTTAATTTTATGTAAATAGTGTGAGATAAATGAACCTTGAAACTAAATTAACCTTGTGTGCTGCCCTGATTCCAAGGTTTGCATGTTTGGACAGAGTGGTACAAAGTACAGGCCCACAGTGTCTTGATTCTGTGTCTGAAAATTTGGTTTGATGGTAACTTGCTACCAGTGGGAGAGGATTGCACTGAACAGCAATGGCAGGGCTCAAAATTAACGGTAACCTGTTAACCAATGGTTAGTAGTTTTGAACGTTTGGTTACTAAAAATGTGTCACCCTGACATGGTTAGTAAAATTTTCTAAGATATTTAAACATTGGTGGACTTCGGGACAAAGAGCACGTAGACCCAACACTCAGAGGAATACTGAGAATACTAAGTTGTTAAATCAACTTAAACTCTTTTTAGAGAATGTGCTGTAGATGTACAGTTCTTGACTAATAATGGTAAACAAGAGGGAAATAAAATAGGTGCATAATTGTCAACATTTTTAAGGTCCCCATTCAATTTCAGCTACTCTTTAATTTGTCCCAGTCGTTATTATCAAAATGTTCAACATTTGAGATATCATAACTTGTCAGCTTGGATACCAAACTTTATAATTTGGTCAATGAAAAAGAAGTCTACTAACCCAAAGGGTTAGTGATCCAAAAATTAAATTCGAGCCCTGAATGGAAGAGAGAACCTCGAAGATCAAGAAGATGCAAATTAAGGAATTTCAAAGAAAGAACAGCACATGTAGATGATCCATTGACTATGCCCAAAGAAAAGCTGCCAAAAAACTTGGATTGTCCTGGAACTTCTTGTCAGAGTACCATTCATTGACTCTTAATGAGCTATTTCACATGATTTTCGATTTTTGGAAAGTTAAACTGCTCTGGACTGTGTGTATTGACAATTTTCTCTATAATATAAGTACAGTCCTTATCAGTGCAAAGGCCTTTGCAACTAAATGTTGCATGCCTTTTTTCTTAATTTGTCATCTTCAGATATCTTGAAAGAAGACACTCATTCTAAATATAACTTTCATTCCAAAAATCCATGAATGGGTCAAAAATAAATTATTTAGCTATTTAAATATTATTATCTTAAATTGTTCCTATCAGGAATGGCCCCATAAAGAACGCCCATTTAACTAACAATGTATAGTAGCCATGTATTTTCAATGTACACAGTAAATTGTTGCATGTATATAGGAATACCCTGAACACACTATCAAACTAAATGGCTACCTAAAAAAATATCCCAGATGTAGTATTGTTGGGTGAAAACTTCATAGTAATAAAGACGAGGAGGATCTAATTGGTTCAAAGTAAATTTTATTTTATTTTTACCTCATTCTGTGACTCTATTGAAGAGTCCAAGGGCTCCTGATAAAAAAATAGTTTATGGAGAGATATACAAAAAAAACACAGTTTAAAACTTTGCTATAATTTTAGCTAGTTCCTAATATAACATGTTTAACCTGTAGTCATGTGGGAGCAGAAAAATCACCTGCTAACACCCCCACTTTTATAGATGGCAAAGAAAGTCACACACTGTAACCTCACAGACAAGTTCAACCAAGAAATTTCCAGTGAAATTCATTTGCACTAGCTCTTCATATCTGAAGGAGCCATTAAGTTATTGGTAGAGGTAAAATTACCACAACATTTGGAGGTAAACAAGACCAACACAACTTGAAGATTTACCAGGTATAAATCAACAGCCTTTCAGTAGAGAGACAGGACAGGTGTTCAAATAAAGTATCAAGTGATTTTTTTTCTCATCTTCCTAATTCTTTTCTTCTTTTTGGAGAAAATTTGAAAGACAAAGCTTCTGTCTAATGAATTCTCGACTGAGGATCGATACAAATAAAGTATATCCATTGTTTTGAAGAAACAGGAGCATTTTCCCCCAATGCCATCCATAAGTGATCTCAGGCAAGAAAGCATGGCAATCAAGATGTCACCAATGAATGACAATCCTCTCAATCGGCCTCATAGTATTGTTGACACAGAGGATAATTTCAAATCAGATACCACACTGTGTAACACCTATATAAAATAGGAGAGTCCGGTTTTAATGCATCAAATTTTTAATTCATATATACTATAAATATTTCTTGTTTATAAGGTTCATTTGATTTGTAAAATTTATTTAGATTGTATTATTTATTGTATGTACATAATTTATATATTTTATTAAACTGATGTGATGTACATATACTGTTCAATTATCAGTCAGTAAAGTAGAAGTGAAGTAGAACAGAAATTGCTGCTGTATGCATAAGTATGTTTGAAATAATTTGAGAAGTTCCAGTGAAGAGTAGCTCTACAATAATGCTCCCTTAGGTGATAGGGCATAGTTAAAAAGAGGCCTCCCTTCGTCATACATTAATCTGACAGTTTTGTCATCCGTCTTTGTTAGGCTATGGACTGTGAAATCTTGAATAGTACATATAATACTGACACTATCTCAAACTCCATATGTGAATTGCAAGGCCATAACAAAATCTCAAAAAACTTATCTCCTTAACTGATGCAAACTTTTGAGTCACAACCTGTTTCTGGCACAAAACACCTTCAAGAAACAACAAGAACAAATTTTTCATACCCTAGCTTTTTTTTAATTTTTACATTTCTTACCTGATTTTGAAGAAACCATTCACTAGCTCACATCCATCTTGTTAAACAGCTAGTCAAAGGGCTAATGAAACAGTTATTACCTTGGCAGGACAATTATGTTGGTCTTGAGGATTCCACCATTAACTCTCACTGTAAGGATTGTAAAATATTGACAATAAACATAATCCTTCAGTACTGATTGGCATGTAACTTCTCCTAAAATCTCCGTACACTTTCCTACAAACAGGTAATGAGAATACTCGAACCTGTAGAAGATATTTTATTGATCTAAGACCAAATTCTAGTCACTAATATACAAGGATTTCTGTAGCAGCTATAGGGGAGAATTAACAATCAGATCTTGGGAGTTGACTATCTTGACTTCTTTGGACACTGAATACAGAATACGAAGTATCAAAAAAAAAAAGAAGCAAGCTAATTTTAGCTGCACAAAGCTTCTATTATTCCTTCGAGCCTCAATTGATCCTTTTCGAAATAATGGAGTGATCGATACTACGCATAAATCTCTCTCTTTTCTCGTCTTGAACAGACCTTTTCGCGACCCTTCATTGATTTGAGATCATTTCAAGATTGATAACAGTTTGCAGTACAAAGAAGGCATGATTCAACGATGAAGAAAGTGCTCATAACTTACAAATTTGGATACACAAGTTGTGTATCATTGAGAGGTCAATTTCAGTTAAGCTTAGTAACCTTTGTAGACACGGAATATTTTCGCAAAAGCAACCTGCCGTAAATAAAAAGTATACGAAGACTCACCATTTATCTGTAGAAGGTAACAGTGACCTTAACAGGACAGAGTTATATTAGCCAATGCGAAAAGCCGCATGCAACGAAAACTAAAAGTAACAGTGCCAACAAAACCCAGAATGCAGTGCGTCCTAACTAGTGGACAGTAGCACTTCCGGCATATAGCAACGACAGCTACATTTCTAACGGAATTTAAGTCTGTCGACCGAATCAACAAGTATTAAAAGTGCAGTACGTGCTAGAACTATTTGTTTCTTGGTATCTCTGCAAGGTAAGTGGCTTGAAATTACAAGCATTTCTTTAGCAGCAGAACAAGGCATATGCCTAACCTACTGTGATAATAGTAGTAGTTGAATGTACATTGAACCAGAGTTCAGAATGCAGCATAATCATAGAAGTAGTCGCCCTTCGTTGAAGCAATAACCCCAAGGAGCTGTATTTGACGACAAAAAAAAAAAAAACCTTGCTCTTATCACAATGCCATCGCAGAAGAATTTTCTTCTACTAAAAGTTACTTAGAGTTAGCGAGTTTCCTCCTTTCATTGCTGTGCTTCCGTTTCACTTTATCCCAATGCCTCTCTATGTTAACTAATTTTTTTAACAATAACCGTTGAAAGGCCGAAAAGTATATTTCTGAAATGAGCACAGTCTGCTTATTATTCAATAGCTGTTTAACTATCGTACATGGAAAATTTATTGATATTTCCTTTTAGAAGTTACGACATTCGTAAACACTTATGATAGATCTGACACTATTGAGTATTTAGGAGATGCGAATGGCGAACATAAGTTAAATTTTTGCCGCCTTGAAGTTTGTCACAGACTTTTCGCCAGTACCTTTCAGCGTAAAAAAAAATGTTCTCCCAAGCTGTTCCTGGCTGTTTGGTGACGCCAAAGGCACTAGGTGTAGTTCCAGTTTTGCAATGAATTGTCCCCTGGCCGCCGCACGCCTATCAAAAACGTTTCTAATTTAGTCTTACAACTGTAGATTTCCCCATCACTGAATTAAAAACAAGGATGCATATCTCTCCCATCGATTTTAGACTATTGTAATAGTGATCGTCGCTGTGCTCGAAAGCTTACGCATTGTACATTAATCAGTGTTTACTACTGTCACAGCACTGTTTCAATTGCATCAACTGTTTCGTGTCAATGTTTTTTTGAAGCTAACACAGCTTTCTGATTGTTTGAAAAGAACACCTTCAGAAACGATGGCTTGTACAAGAAAACATTTGGCTTAGGTTTTAGTCATTACAAACGTAGAGTCATTAAAAATTACGCTTGTGAACCGAGCGTGAAATACTTTCTTCATAAATTAAACGTGACATAGATTTTCTATTTTCTCGGAAAATTCAATTAGAGAGCATGTTTCATTCCCAATCATACCTTTGTAGCATTAACAGTAGAGACCAAAAGGTGTGTTAAGAAAAACGTATCCTTTTTGAATTTTTGGTGTTGATACAACTTTTGTCGATGTTACTTTGTAGTTGTAATCTTACTGAATAATAGGGTACAAACTACAAACTTGGATTACAGGTGAAGAAAGGTCGGGCAGAATTTCACTGAGATTGCGTGACCTGATCGTACTAAAATACTTTAACGCAAATTACTTACTGGTTCGTCCAGTTGCAACAGCAAGTTTTTATTTGTTTCGCCTTTAAAAGATACAAAAAAATAATAAGGTGGATCTGCACTTACAGTACGGGTTTTCTTTTCGAAATTAGTAGAATGAAGAGTATTGGCATGCTGATAACAATTCTGCAGTAATTAACGAGCAGAACTGGATTTTAATTACAAGTACAAACTGGAAGCTTCTCCTCCTGCCAAAACCCCGAATTTTGGTTTCAGGCTGGTTTGTAAGAAAAGCAGTTGGCATTGATGAAACTTTTCCTAGGGTTTAGAAGCTCTCTTCTTTCAATTTTCAAATTGATGTGCTTTATATTATTTCACACGTACAGCGTTTTTTCAAGTGTAAAATAAATTTGGTTCAGTAAGCCAAAATATGAAAATTTGGTTATATCAACTAAGTTGAAATTGTAAATTGGCCACTAACGCTGGAAACGTCAGCTTTTTTATTCGTTACGGTGGCTAATTTACAATTTCAACTCAGTAGCTGATAGAACCAAATTACCTTGTTACCCGATCGATGCAGCACCACAGTTTCTTTAGAAATTTTCAGCCTTTAAAATATGAAAATGTCTGACTATTCTAAAACTAAAGTTATAACTCGAATACTCCTTAGGGACTGATCATTATTTATTGCAAGAAGGGGGGGGGTGGAAGGATTTTGTCTCGATAAGATTCACTTGATCTCCCCATAATGTTCTGTAATATTCCTTATGATCACCTCTCATTGGGAGTTAACCCATTAACTACCATGTGTGACCAAGACAGAATTTCTCCTTACTATATCAATACAATATCAAGCAGACAAGTGATGAGAATTAAGTAAAATATCAATTAGGGGTTAGTAAGTTGATCCAATGCTCAATTCTCTGAACTAATGTCTAAAGCATTGTATAGCAGACAGTAAAGAGAATTACTATTGAGATCTCGAGAGTGAAAGGGTTAATTGGCGCGATTGAATAGCCTAACTCTTACATCGTGGCACAAACGAGTAACCGTTCATTTATCGAAGAACAATTTTATTTTATTTCCCGATTTCTTTTCTTGATGGTTAAAATGGCTAGCCGTTTCTCTTCAGCGTTCTAGAAAGGGATTTGATATAGACTTAGCTTTTACGTCATTAAAAAATCACAGTCTTAGGATGACCCGTGCGGTACAAAAAAAAAAAATGGAAATTTTAAGTGAAATTGAAATGGACTTAGTAATCCATGTCTCTTCCGGTTGTTATCCCGATAGAAACTGGGCAATGAATTGGTTGCGGTGCTTTGTTCGCGCGGTCATCCTGTATGCTGCCGTCACTTACAGAGAGGCCGATGGCATCACGACTAAAGCACGTCCACGGGATTGTCTTCCCGAGGATCCAGCTGGTAACAAATACAACTTGACTACGTTGCGAAATATAGATGGAAATGCCAGGTGAGTAAATACCAAAGACCAAAGGATCATTTTTACCGTGATATTCGGGAATTGGAATTGTACTAGCCTGATACCGTACCAAACTGTTCAGAATGTTTTGTTTGCATTGCGTGACGGCTCATGACGAGTGTGACTTGGCGGCCTCGCCTTATTCAGATTAGTTTACCACGTGCAGAACGTTTCGGTGACGTTCTTTGTTTGTTTGTTTTTTTTTTATTGTTGTTGTCGCAAGAAGCGAGTGAAGTTGTTAGCATTAAAACCGGAATTTCAGAGACCTTGTGTGAATTAATTTGGTGTCACAGAAAACGTTTTCCACAAAACTCAATGTCAGTAAAATTTAATTAGAAAGGGGGGAGGGGTGATGGGGGCTTTGGGATTTTCGGTTTGCGGTTTGGCCACGTTTTATATCGGTGTTTTCGTATTTATGCCAAATAACGTCGTTTTTTCGGTTTTTACGTTAATTGCAGTTTGCGAATTTTCGGTTTGTTTGTTTTTTTTTTTTTTTGCATTTGGTTCCGGTTCTCGCCAAAAATACTAACGGGTCTTCGGATTTGGTATCTGATGTGGTTTTCTGTCTTTCCTATTTGGGTTCTGGTTTCTCCTCTCTGCTCTACTTGTCACAACTGTGTGGTTTTTCATGCGGTTTTCGGTTTGAGCGAGTTTTTTAAAGGGGGTTTGGCGGTTTTGGACGATTTTTTCCACGATTTTGCGGTTTCTAAGACCTCAATGCCTCCCTCCAAGAACATTGGTGACGCGCTTGGCTTTCCCTCGTGTGCCGGTTATTTGCTCGGACAGCATTTAATTTTCACCTTATCTATAAACTATTACTGATCCATGCCACAGAGTTGTTTTGGATGAGGTTGGCCACCGATGATATAAGTTAATTGAATCAAAGGCAAGAGTGATGCTTTACTGCCGGAAGCATAAACAGATGATTTTTTTAAAGAAAAAAAAACAGACGTAGGCCGAAAATGAGAACCATCAATATAATAAATTTTATCGCAATGAGACAGTGAGAACATTTATGACTATTCTGTTTCTCCCAAACAGATTTAAAATAACCAACGGGGGATATACATATAGCTTTAACCCCTGTGTATCATTCAAGATAGGAAAGTCATCTAAAGCAAATGAATGTCAATCGGATGTGGCGGTGAGTCTTCTTTGCTGGGATCACTCTTATTTTTTACATTGATATGGCCACTATGATGGCATCATATGAATTCTCGATCATCGTTGGTCAAATGAGGGTCTATTCCTTGACGCTAGATGTAACCACAGCCGTAAAACACGCTCACCCATTATGTGTCTTTGGTACCTGTGACCTAATAACTAATTCGGTGGCCCAATATTTTCAATGTCGAACGAAAACCAGCATACCGAGATTTATTTTCCTACAAAGTTAAAATATCAGATTTATTTCTGTCATGTGTATCAGGTTAAGATTCTTCAGTTATGATACTGTATGTTACAACTGGTAGTAAATTGAAAGAAATAATTACACAGAAAAATGTTGACCTACGATATAACGCATAAAACAAGTCTTTTCCTATTAGGAGGCACAGAAAAATCTCAAACTTGGGATCAGCCAGTTCCAATGTTGATTAAGTGATAACTTCACAAATTTAACATCCGCTGGGCTATTTACTATTAGATTTCTCTTTTTAGATTTGCAGGTGGGTGGAAAACCAAATGTACCACAATATAGGACATCAGAGCAAAGAAGAGTGTAATTTTGATAAGGACACTAACACACCGAAACTGGAATATACTGGGTATGTGATATTTACTTGTGTTTCATCTGTTATATCTGAATACTGTCCAGTAATTTTGTTTTTGAGGTCTTCAGTATTTGTTGAAAAGTGAGCCGTTAAGGAAGACCACATTCTACAAATAATTAACTGTGTAAGTAATATACGTTTATGAATGCAACTCAGTGGTTCACGAAAATTAGTGCTAGTCAATCGAATTAATGCAACTTCAAAGCCTCGAGAGTCAACTCGGAATTGCTTTAGTATGCTTCTCTCTGTTATGCGTATGGTACTCCTAGTTAGCCCGGTTATTTAATGCTTTGTGAACCATTTGAAATTTAAGAAATTTTTATCTTTTTAAAACCGTGTAACTTTGTATTTTAGGGATATCTTTATTAAGAAGGCAGATGTGCTATTAAAGTGCCACAAAACCAAGGAACGCCCAAGCTTCGAAGCTCTGTCGGTTAAAGATTCCTCGCGATTTGTATGTGATGTAACAATCATTTTTTTGTTGACCTGTCGTACATTCACTAGGCCTCCTCACTAAAGGCCTAGATTAGAACCTCCATCCTTTGTAATGGTCAACTAACTGAAGACATGATCTTCGAAGGTTAAAATAATCGTTAATCCTC